ATCAGATTCCTTCGCTTTCAGGGAATGGCCAGGGCTATTCAATGCAGCCTGATGCACATCATTTGGGCAACGGGCAGGTACATGAATAAGGAAAGAATCAGGAAACAGGGTCATAATCAGTCATGGATAACTGCAAATTACTGATCCATAGTTTACAAGGTGAGGCCAGAAATAAGTAACTGATTTACCCAGATTTAAAGCTACCTATCAGCAATCCTAAATCTTTTTAGAAGATGGGAAATTGAAAGAGGACTCTCAGTGAGAACAGGGCATTACTTCTACCATTAAGAGTAATGCAGTTTGAATTGTGGTGTGCAAAAACAAAAATATTGTCTTGTTGGTAAATACAGCTGGAAGGTGGGGAGTGTTTGTAAATGGCCTCAAAATACTCTAAGCAATCATAAAAGGACTATTTTGCATCAACACCAGGGTGGTATTATGAACAGTCATTTTTAAATGAGTAAGGCAGCTGCTCCAGGTTTAGAGCCTAGCAAAGAGATGTGACAATAATTTAAAAAAAAAAAAAAAAAAAAAAAAAAAAGGGGGGGAAAAAAAAAAAAGGCAGGTTGATTTTATTGGTCACTGCAACTATCAAACTTACCGGTTTCCCAAACTCCAATTCCGAAAAGAATTTATACCAAGGTTCATTCTTTAAATCTATCTCTTCTGGGCTTATATCCCGAGTCTAAAGGAATTGGTGATAGGGGAATGGAAGAAAGAGAAGGATAACATTATGCAAAGAATACACAGAAAAAGACTGTTAAAGATGCAGATTCCATAGTTTCCATTCTAAAATGTCGATATTTAGCCTGATAATTTGGAATTTCTATAGCATCTCTCATGAAAGCTATGAACTGCTTTGCGAACATCAGTTAAGCATCATTGTGAGATACATGAATATGAATGAATTGCATTTTACAGATCAGGAGACTCACACAGAAAGAGATTATGCAGCTTGCCCAGATTCACTGGAGGCTCACTGGAAGGGCTGGGAGTCACTCAGTCCCCCAGTTCTACTGTCAGGCATTTCCACTGAGACCAAAGCACAGGTACTGGTTGAATCTCTTTAAACCATCATTTTGTTAAAACAAACAAAACAAGTGAGATTCAGTGAGACTTGAATCAAACATAGCAAAATACTGCATCTTTAACAGCACATGAAAATGTGAGAAACCCTGTTCTATACATTGCAAACAGGGTGAAAGGTGATTTTCTAAAACAAAGCGGACACAGGTCAGAGAAAGCACATTTCTGAATATTCTCTGATAAGATGGATACAGAGAGACAGTATTACTTGTTTCTTCACAAATATATGTTAAGAGAATCAGACTGAACTAAAATGAAGGAAAATCAGACAGGACAGAAAATACTACAGTTGAAAAGAAAATTTCCTTTTATTCATACAACACGAAGTGTGTCCTGATGCAAATCTTCGTGTGATGGGGTTACTGAAGTGGGGGCAGTTCCCAGCATTGCTTGGCACTGCTGGATGTTTCGGATGGCCACAGCCATCAAGCATCACAACAACAACAAAAAAAACAAACCAAAAACAACAACAACAAAAAAGGCTCTATGGAAAGAGCATACAACTGATTCTGAAAGAGGGGCAACACTTCTATCTGAAAGATAAATGGTTATGTTGTGTCTGATCTCTTGTCGCCTGGACAATGCCTCCATTTTTTTCCTTTATTGCACTCTAGCTCAAGTACTCATCTCATTATGTAACTGCAGTTACTGGAGATAATAAAAAAACCACTGACATCAGTGGAAGGCTCTTCATTGCCCTGCAATGGTCTTGGATTGGGATTCTGATAGCCACAGCTTCTGGTGTGATCACCAGGAGATATTCACAAATCTGCTGCTTCCTCAGAAACACAAAGATAGACCCAGTTACTAAACAGTGACTAGTTACTGTTGTACTTAATGAGACTGATGTAGATTATGAAGTTACTATTTCAAGATGTTCTTTTTCCTGTGATCTGTGGTTTGAAATTAAAGCTCAAAAAAAAAAAAAAAATCATCAAAAGTAACACAGCTATAGCATTCTTCTTGTCTTTGGTGATCTCAGTACAGTTTTTCTCAATTGCACTGAATGATGGTCCTGCTTTTGGCTTTTAGCTTCTGATTAAACAGCTCCATTAAGTAACTCAAGAAGTCTGAATGCATAAACAGTACCACTGGTTATGTCAGACCTTTCTTAAGGCTTAAGTATACAGACGATGCAGGACTTTTGCCACAAGTTTTAATCTTGGCTATTTATCAAGAGACAAAATTGCTGCTGAGCTCAGCAGAAATCTTAATCCACGATGGACTGAAGAAATGGCACTGTCATACCAAGCTCAAACTACTCCTCCCCGGCGCTTTCTCTATTGGGTTGAGCCAACTCCCAGTACAATTGAGAGCCACCCATTGCCTAGTAGTCCAAAAGGCCCCAGATCATACGCTGGTCAGGGGTGACTGTCCTGAAGTCAATGAGGGACTGTTTGGATCAACTTTTGAACTGTTAAGACACAGAGTGCAGTTTACATTTGGAATCTCACCTGGAATTAGCAATTCCAACCAAGTCCTTCGGGTTAATGCCTATACAGAACAATTACATGTTTACATACCAAACTGGTTATTCACTAATAACCTCACTCAGTGTCTCCTAGCGCTTTCACGGTTGTGCTTGTAAACTGAAGGACCTTAAGTAGGTAGAACTGATTTATGCAGGACTGACAGAGGTTAACATCACCTTTCCTCCCTGTTGCTTCCCAGGTCTTCTCATCCAAGCCTGCAGAGTGAGATTTTTGTATTTGCCCTATTTGTCACAACTCACAGCTTACTAATTCAAACTAAAATTGGTAACAGTTCACTTAATATTCCAGGTCACACACTAGTGTAGCTGGGGGGGTCAGCTCACATTCAGTTCTGCCACCTTTGCCATGGAAGGAGTGAGATCCAGCTGAGGAAGAAAGTAGCCAAGGGGCTGTGTCCTAAAGCATCTCAGAAGCATCCGCTGAAGCACATTACTGGCACTCTAAGAAGTTGTTCAGTGTTTAAAGCTAATGGCATCAAAAGAACATAGAAACTGAACCAGGCAGTTTTGTTTCATAATGCTTTCAACCCTACTTCTGTGCCCTAGAAAAAGTACAGCTGGCGACACAGCTGCTGCAGAGGTCAGTGTCAAACACGGATTAAAAACTAGGGTTAGTGATCCATACTTAACACAGAAAACAACATATCCCGAAGTAAAGCAGCCTCTCAGTCCTCATGGATTTTGCTTTATAAAGAGAGACAATGTTATGCAAAACGATTTTCAAAACAAAATACAACAGAATACATCACACGATCACTGCAATGTAAACATAAGGAATCCTATCGGAATGGAACTGGACAAGCACTCAGTATCATGTATATCATGTATATATCACATTCACAGGATTAAGGCATACTCTAGGAAAAGATAAACATTACCATTTTTTCACTGTTCAGAACTGAGGACTTTCCTGGCTGATAGTCATAAATGCTCCTGGGCTCTGCACGGTATTTTCTAGTGTCCACCTTCTTGTCTGGAGGCTCCCAGTCCGTCCTGGGGAAAGAAAGATCAGTTAATGCAAATCACTGTGGTTTCCATGGAAGCAAGTACTTCTTTTGACAGGCACCTTCTCCTGCTAATCCTGGTTTCATTAGAGTACTTCCTTCATTCTGGAAAGAAATGTGCTGCGAGAGAAGCAGGTCAGATAGGACTCATGATTGTATATTTGTTTTTCTACAACAAGAAGAATTTGACACAGCTCAGATGCTGAAACCACTGGAATACGATGGGTTGGGTGTCTTTTTCATACTTTCAATGAAATGTCAGAGTTTAATGTCTTTCCTGATTGAAAATAATGTAATGATGGAGCACAAATTAAGCTCACAAATACCAGTGTGTCCAAACGTGGAGGAAAATTCAGACTAACACTCTCCTGCTAAACCACTCCATTTTTGCCATGCCACTGAGTTCTCACCTCTTCACACAGAAGTGCAGCAGTCTAAGCAGAACTACTGCTGCTCCAGGTGTGCTCCCACTTACCCTATTGATCCGGTTGACAATAGGAACCACCCACTGAGATACCCTTCTCTCTTCACTGATTTTGGAAGACACAGGCAAGTAAGTTCTCTTTTAAAGTAAGACAAGATGATAATCAAAATGACTAGACCATCAACACTGTGCAAACTTCCACAGTGTTAATCATTACTGCTTGGAATTAACTTGATGGTTTAAGATTCCAGTCCCAGAGAAACTTTGCCCTGGTGAAACATTGTTTCGTTACTAGATAACAGGAAGCACTACTTATCATAACTCTTCCATTTGCAAGAATTTTCGGAAAGGGCCAATGTATTCTGCCTTCAACTTCTGTGTAAGGAAGAGATGTTCCATCAGTTCTATGGCCTGAGATGTTTACCGAAATAGCACTCTCAAATCACAGCATTACATATTTGAGGCATTAAGTGACAAACATTAAAAGCATGCGGAAATTAGTGAAGGAAGGAGGAACAATTCAAAAGCTGGGAGAATTCCACAGGACATACAATATTCATTGCCCTTTCTGCTTTCCCTTCATTTGGTAAATGCATTCATTATTCTTATAAAGAGTTTTTAAATGCTTGGTAACAAACAAAGCAAAAGATCAGGATGGAAATCATCTTGAAAGCTTACTAGTAATCATGAAAGCTAACTCGAATCTACTTCCAGTAAAGTCCATTATGAGTGAGACGACTCAGAGAAGGGCAGTGTAAAAAACTTTTACCAAGGTTCAGCATAAATTCACTTCTTGCCCCTCTGCAATTACTGCTGTTCACTTGTATTCTGAGGCATCTTTACAGTGTCACACTAAACGGAGAGCTTCCACTGTGCTTATGTGGATAGACAATACCCTAGGAAACACTGCTCACCCCAGCAGAAAACTACCTATGTAACAGTGAGTGTGATGCCTGCTCAGTAAATGATGCAATGGCAGAGGAAGCCGCGGCAACAAAGGAGTTAATTAGTGTCCTGCAGACAAGTCAGAGTTAAAAGTACACCTCCACCTCCCCAAAAACAACTGGAGTCGTGAACCTAAACTTCCATATTTGTTCTCTTCCTATTCACAACTTTCAGACACTCTTCCACTATTGATCCAAACATATCTTAGTTCGGGTCACCTTTCAGGGCTGGATTTCAGCAATGAAGTACGGTTTGGTAGGGGCAAAGTGGCAGACCTCTTAAACACCTTCTCTGAGTCAATATGGTCCATCTCACTCTTGGAGCGAGGAACTGAAGGCTGGCTTCTGGCTGTGGAATAAATCAAATAGAGAGATGTTGGTGAAATGGATAAGAGGCCAACAAATACATACTTGATATATCCCCTTATGTTTGAAATATCATACAAGAAAAGGGAATTACTTACTGTCCTCACAATAGGAATAACGAGGAGAGTATGAATCAGAATCTTCATCTGAAAGACAAAAGCATTTTGCAAGTGAGCTGAAAAAGCCCTCCAAATGAAGCATCAGAAATCCTTTTCATTTCCATTCTTACATTGGCCATAACTAGAGAGTAATACACTCAATACCTACCATAGAGAGGATCCTAAAAAAGAAAATGCCAATGAGATTTAAATTGCATTTAAAAAATGCTTCCTAGATTAGATATAAATATTAATGTAGTACTTATACCTTTCTCCAGCCTCTCAAAGCACTTTAAAAAACAATCACTTTTTGTCACAAAACGCCTCCAGAGCAAGTGTTATTAGATCCACTTTATCAAAAGCTGAAAGATAAATCGAGAATCTAAATGCTGAACTGTATGCCTAAAATAACTCATTAGGTGCTAGACACAGTAATAGAGCTGAGGAGTCCTGTTCTCAATCACACACAGTAATCACTGGGCCATCTTGCTAGTATTAAGTAGCACACCAAATTGAAGTATGTTCACTGACTCAGATTATCTTTAAACACTGATAACATTCCTGGCACAATACATGCATGTATAATTGCACTAAGAGATTATCCTTGCTCTAAAGAGCTTACCTTTTGAATAGAAAAGATATGTCTATAGAATGCAATAGAGGGGGGTTCAAGCAGCTCTACAAGAGCTAGCAATGACAGTCATGACTGTAGTGCCCAGGGCACGTGCACGCCTAAAAGAGGTGGGGAGGATGGTAGCATTACTGCCCACACTCTACAGGTGATGTCCAGAGACTAGCTTTGATTATCAAAAACCTACAGGTATCTTTTTCACCATATTCATCATACTTTGGAATAAATCCTCAATGAACTGTATCTGATAGCATGAGGAGCTAGGATCAGAACTGGAAACTGGATCCACAGACCCATCATCTTTCTCTACCAATGAGGGTTCCAACTATCAGGGAAGTGTACTTTGGATACCTATAAGACTTCAAGGCAAAACACAAGAAGATAAAATGCAATGCCTGCAAAGAAAATCATGAGTAAAGATATTGCTAACAGCTCTGTGAATAAACCACTGAAATAGCCAGATAAAAATAGAGAAAAACAGAAATAGATGAAGTAAAGAACATACTGTACGTTTGTCGCATTAACTTAGTGATGTCAATCAACAGACTAAAACAATTTGTAGCTTCTCTCTCTCAAAGAGTAGCTGCTATATCCAGCCTCATCTGCTGGAAAAACAATTTGGCTAATACAGCTGACCTGAACTTGCACTCATCGCTTAACTGAGCTTTTCAGAAAGGCTCAAAGAGGTCTTAACTCTTAGCCCTGCTGCTGAATTTCTCTTGGTGAATGAATTAGAAGGTTTAAGTTCTAAATACAGTTACTGATTTCTGGTATGCTTATTATAGCCTTCAGGAAAAAAAATAAAAAATAAAAATAAAAAATAAAAAAATTAAGGTCAATTTTCAAACCAATTTTCATGTTTCAGACTAAAATGACAGAGAATAACTGTTGATCTATTTAATAACAGGGAATTGTTGAAAAAGTTGACCGCTATTGCTATACAAAAAGTGGGTGTATACAAATACCAAAATACTTGGTAAATCACCATCTGCACATACAAACAGATACATCTAATACCATCTTCACATCCATTCAAGCTCTCAGTATTATTTAATGCTAGTGAGCAATTAAAAAATTGATCTACTCACTCAAAAATAACTGTCAATACTCATTAAGTATTGTTGTTCAGGCAGGAAAAAATAATTTCAGATAAATGCTAAGTTTTCCAATTGCAAAGATTTTAATAGCTAAAGTAGTGAGGAAGAAAATGATACTGTTCTAAGAGAACATTTCTGAGGGAGAAAACACAGGCATTCTTCTATTTTATAGCAATGAACAGTAAAACACAGAAATCCGGAATGACCCCATAAAGTTTAAATCAGAGATGAGCAATTTGAACAGGATCTCCTGAGCAACATCCTATCTATGCAACACTTAGTGGAGCTGGGCACGGCCAAATCATCCCTTTAAAATCTGATTCTTTTTGCAAAAAGTGGCAGTCCCCTGGCAGCTCTTAGAGAATCTACAGAGTGTTTTGTTCTTGCTGTTATCTGTTTTTAAGGCTGGCTAAAATCTCTAGATTTCAATATTCTCAGACTTTGAAAGAATTTTAGAGAAGAACCCAATCTTAATGTTTTTAGGAGATCTTATACAACAACCCAGAGCAAACAGACTAACACTCAGAGTGTATGCAATCTAAAGCTTGAGGTTTCAACCCATCTCTGTATAAGCCCTTTGCAGGAGAACAGAACATTTTGAAATGTATTCTGAATATGAAGCATGGACTCTAACACAGCTACACCATCATATATTCTGGATTCCTCATCAATAAAAGAATCCAAGCAGGTATTTGAGAAACATTTCTCAATATACTGTAAATAATGAGCAAATATCAACCACCTAAACCAGCAAATTACTCTCATCTGCACATCTGAAGTGCACAGGGGAAATTTATGGGAAAACAGACTCTTACTGCAGTAAGTTCATTAGCTTTACAAACTGTTTTTGTTAAGATAAAGAGTAAGATGGATTTTCAAACTTCATTATGAACCAGAAAATTAATTGCAAAATTTCTTTAGTGACCAGTTACTGAGGTTCTGTTTCTCTCTCATTTGTATCAATATACCATCCTGCCAACATAAAATAATTTATACTACCTTGTAATATGCAAGACAAGACTTTTCACCTGCGGGTTTCACCAAACATTAAGTATCTGAGATATCTGTTTGACACTAATCCGTATTCGTTTTCACAGTGAAATGCACTTCACATCTCATCTTCTTTGATCATTTCAGCTGGAACCCAGATCATACACTTTTCTTTTTATAAAATACCCACCAAATCCTTAATAAAAACACTGAATGAAATGGTTAATTAATAATCTCACCAGGGCTGCCTTGAGGCACAGGCTATGTAGGCAAGTTCCTAAATGGCAGGATCTTAAGCAGTACCAAAACATGAAGCAAACAAGGCTGTCACCACCATCGCCTCCCTGATTACTAAACATCTGTATATGCCCAATGTCTGCACTGGATTCCAATGTTTCTAATGTATAAGTGTTTTCATATATATATGCAGACGGTTGTAGGATTATTACTGCTATAAATACAATTTAGCCATCCCTGAAACATGACAGACAAATCTAGTTTATACCTGAAATTTAAAGGAATCTCCTGAGCACACAAAGAGGCTAATATAAAGACAGTGATGTAAGTTACAACACGTGCTGATGACCATCACATTCTGCCCTTGCCCAGATAAGCGAGTGCACCTAAGGCCAGCCCTGAACCCACGTTACCAGGTTATATTTATTTTAAAGGACTGCACTGAAGGACTGATCCAAAACCCACTGAAGCGAGCAGCCATTTCACCAATAGACTTCAGTGACATTTTGGTCTGGTCCTAATACTGCGTTAATATTAAAAATAAGAAATAAACAAATAAATGTGTTGATCCAAAAGAAAGGCAAGAGAAATCACAGTTAGATCACATCTTTGCATGTATATCAGCATTTTAGACATGTTAAGTAATCACTGCACACATATGGCTAAGTATAATTGGTAAGCGCACAAAACCAAGCAAACCTCAGGTCTGTAGCATTAGTCAACTACTAGTTAGAAAGCCAGAGGAGCACTGCAAAGCCAAAAAGGCATCATACAGTCAAGGCAATGCTTACAGTGCAGCAAATAATTACGAGGCAGCATAATGTTCAGCAACTAGAAAAAACTCCAGGAAGAAAATAAATGGACAAGGCAGCATTTGTGCAGAAAAATATAGATGGTCCTTCATTATTACCTTCAGAGATAGGGCTAGGAGTAGACGCAGGAAACTGGTATGTAGGAGAATAAGGATTGTCTTCTGCAGCAGAGAAAAGCAGTGGATTTTGAGGCTATCCACAGTGAAGTGGAGGTTCTGCTTCATCCCCCAGCTTCCTACCACCATTTGGCTTTATTGCTTATTTTAATAACACTTGAGTAAACATCATCACTCTTTAAAAACTTAAAAATGGATTAGCAGAGTTTTAATTACTTTATACATTACACAAGAAGGTATACTGGGCATGACTAGACCTGAATCTAGTTACTACTATGGTGCTACAGTACAGTTAACTCAAAGCACGAGACAACACATACTCTGACTATACTTCTGGTACCTTCAGGTTTTTGCTGGATTTCAGGAAGTTCAGGAAATATGTAGGTAGGGCAATAAGGATTTTCTTCAGGAGTGTCTAAGGAGAGGAACATGATTTGAAAAAAGAATAGAGAGTAAAGATTTAAAGGGGAAGAATGGCAAGACAAGAATCCACACAGGCTGCAGAACAGCTCCTCGTGCTGATGACACAGCATGACACTACCCAGATGCCTTCTTGGGCCCTAAGGGAGATCCTGGAAGCAGAAAGGACTAAATTTATTCTTCATATTCAGAAGTACTGACTCTGACTGAGCTGAAGAACCTCTGTTAGGAGCACTGGGGTGGAGAAATGGTTCAACTCTTTCTCACTCTATCCAATACAACACGGTGCCTAAATATGCATAAAGCTCATCATGACAGCACCTGCAGTGGCATGCAAAACTGGAGCAGTGTTATGTAAGCGCAGTTCTGGATTGCATTTGCCTGCACATGAGCCTGTTCAGACACTGCAAACACTGCTGCAGCCATTTCTCACACAGAAGAAAGAACACGGATGTATCAGCAGCCAGGCACTGAAGTGCCTCAAAGTAGTAGAGTCCCTCACCACGATGAAACTTCAATAGAAACATGAAATGTCATATTTGCAAGAGCTTATTACAGTTTTGAATTATGAATGAAGAAAAATTTGAAGTTTTGAAGAGCAGAATTCAGATTCTGAACTGCTCAGAATCAGTGGAAATCGTTCCCATGATATCTGTGAGCCTCAAACCATGTTCTATTAAGCAGGTACTGAAGCAAAGTTGTTTCAGTAATAATATAATTCAAAAGTGTTGTGTGGGACAGCTGCTAATACTGGAGTTCAGGGATCTGTTTCTTAAGTACAGACTTAGTGGCAGCCTTCTGTACACTCAATAGTACGTTTGATTTCATGAAGGCACTGAGGTAAACCTCTCAGAACAATCAGACTTTGCTTTGGACTTCACTGCTTTCTTACCTTTGTTTTTAGAGATTTTAAATACATTGGTTGAATTCTGTGGTGCAGAGTAAAAACTAGTTAACATAAAACAGTTCTACTGAATACCCATAGTACGATTTTTCATATGTATTAAAAATGTTGTAAAGGTGGTCTTGTAAAGTTAGTAAAATGACCCATCGTACAGTACCTCTGTTTAGCTTGTGTATCTGTTTGAACATTGTCTTGTACCAGTCCTTTGATCTGTCTGTGTTCTATGGGAAGAAACAGCACACAAATAATCACAAACATGAATTCTATCAGCCTTTCAAAGTTTTTCTTTCTTTTATCATATTCACCAAAAGGTAGACACAGTGTGTAATTTAGTCATTCATGCTCTGTGTCCAATGGACACATGCAGTGTTCAAGTCACTCCAGACACTAGTTGTAATGGGTGCGTTATTCTTTTCACTGTAATTTCACTTGATAGCTGAATGAAATTAAACACAATGTTTAGAAGAGATAACTGCCATTAAGATCGCTAAAATAATGCAAAATTAATATCCTCCTTCACCGCCAGCAGTGAATGAACAATGTTCTCCAATATGATGAAAAGAGAGACTCATATTTACTCTTTTTTTCACCTGATGCTGAAATTGGGTAATTGATAGAAAAGTTCATAACAATATGCACTGGAACTAAAATTCTATTTTCTCTTATATCTCTGCAGCCTCTGTATCTTCAGCAAATTCCCCAAGTTTCAAGACAGGCAGTACCAGGTTTTTGCAAAATGGTCACGTTTCCATTGTTGCCTTACCCTCAGTGGAATGCCAATGTCATCAACAGAAGTATCAGCCATATGCTGAGGGCTCTTGACAATTCTCTTCTCCTCCAAAACCCTCCTCTCACTCAGCACTGGCTCCTGGACTGGCTTGACTTGTGTGAGTGCCAAATCTACTTTATCTGAAATTATTCTGTCTGGCACAGAATCTGGAAACAAAAACAAGGCATTCTTACTTCATTGCAGTATTCCATCACTTCACCATATCCCACTCTTTTAAGGCAAGAACCCTGGCAAATAGTTGATGAGACAGACTGTGACCCTGCCAGCTGTGGCTAGCACATAGGCTGAAGGAATCTAGCAAGAATATGTTTGATACCAGCAAAAGCAGGCTAGTATTTCTTCACACATCTCGTGACAGGCTCAGCTGGTACATAAGACAAGATTTTTGGTTTTGGAGATTTTTTGGGGTCTAATCAGTGACTCTGCAATTTCATTCTTAATCTCCTTTGTTATAATCAACAGGATCATTTCTGCATCCTAACTAGAATTTGTAAACGACAAATCCCACTACAGTTGTTAGCATTATGTATCATTCCTCTCTAAGTAAGGAAAACAACTACTTGCTCCAGACTGCCTTGATTCTACCTGGCATTCCTTGATGCTGCCTGGCTGACATCCACATGCAGCACCACTGAGCAAGGAACCTGGGAGCTTGAACTGCTCTGAAGATCTACTATGCTGTGGAGAGCTGCAACATGACAACATTTAGGCTCTGCTAAGAACTCCCACATGGATTTTCTGGAGAGAAAACATCAGTGATTTTACAGTCTGTCTCATCAAGGATCTGCTGAAGCCTGTTCACTTTATATCACTGCATGCATTGAAGATAGAGAGAGGTTTATTCACATGCACATCAACATGCTGCCCAAAGCCATTAAACGTGAAGAAATCTGAGAGGGACAGTTAGCAGAGGAGGGGCTCATGCACAACAAAGCACTGGTACCCTGAGCAAACACAGTCTGGCCTGCAAAAATTAGTACACGAAGAATTTGTGTTTGAGTGGTTTCTCCTCTAAAAAAAAATAATGAAATAATGTTTATAAAAACAGTCATCATGTAGCAAAGCATCAATTAATTTGTCATCTACCTTATCCCACTTTGTTTTCTCTCCATGGCAATGCATGTACACTGTCTTCCGGTCTTTTTTGTGTTTCTGGTGCAAAGGGTTGGTTCATTCCCCTACATCTGGGAGAATTAACAGCCAAATTCCATAGTGGAATATTTGCCACACAGCTCCAAAGATTTCTAAAGTCTTAAAGACTTTAAAGACTTTAGAAAGACTGCTGGAGGTACAAACCAGGCCAAGGTACTCAAAAACATCAAACAGCCAAAGCCGGTGCCTGGCCACATAGATAACCACACTGCATACCCCATGGCACCTTCGATGTCAGCAGCAACATGGAGCTGCACAGCAAGAGTTCCACTGTTGTGAGGAAGAGGATGCAAGAGACAAGGGATGAGGTGGCCACCTGCATCTCTGTGGTTGTTCTGACTCAATAAGAACAGGTGCAGGCCCAGCTGTGCAAAATGGGATTCACTGGCAGGCCGTGGGCCATTTGGGTCCAAACAAGCCACACTGTGTGCTGTCTCTAGTTTGGAAAACAAAAGGATTCCTGATTGTGAAGGGAAACACCTTGTGGAAGGGAAAACCAATAGGAAGGAAGCTTCTGTCTGCAGGACACAGCTGAGCTGAGTGCGCTGAGGCACCACCAAGGGAAAGAGCAGGGAGAAATGTGCAGCCTGCCACCTGAGCAGGGCACAGCAGAGAGCAGCAACTGGTGTGGCACCAGAGGAGCTGGCTGGAGGCAGCTGGACCCTGGGAGTGGGAACAGGAAAATAACTTCCCTGTCAAGGAGATGCTCACAGACCTGTTGCAGGGGCAGATACAGCTGCAAGGGGAAAGAAGGCTGGCAGCACACCTGCACACTTGTCTGCTACAATTTTATCATATACTTCTTAGGAATTGGCACAAATATTTCTGCTCTATAAGTCAACACTGATTTTTCTCTCCCCATCCTATGTGAGATGGACTCTAACGGCTATGCAGGGAAACTTGAGAATACATCCCATGTCAGTAAACCTAACGGCTCAAAAGGCAACCAAACCAATCAACAAGTTACAATTTAGGAGGAATAGACTACCAGTTCTAGGAGTTAGGTAGGTATATTAACACAGCCACACCGGCAGCACATGGAGGAGAGACTGGAATCAAACATTTGGTGACCTGGACTAAGCCAGGACAAACATTTAAAGTCTTTCTTTTGCGGTTCCTGGGAAGTGTGTTTGCTCAAGGCACTTCACAGCTAACAAAGCAGCACTTTGTTCCAGCAGAGGCAGTGGGCGTGAGGGAGCAGACCTTTGACATCATACCTGCCAGGCTACTAAGCCTTTTTTGCTGTTCTGTGGTAAAGAAAGAAACAAAATAAAGAGAAATACAGAACAAATGGGTGAGACAAACAGCAAGTGCTCTAGTGCTGCATTTCTGACAGGCAAGAAATACTCTGCGGACACAATGGCAGCAGCTGCTGGAGAGAGTCTGTTTTCAGATCACTGCTAAAGTGACAATCCACAGCCCCTTCTCCACACAGCACCCATGTGGATTACACACATCTCGTGATGCAGTGCTCAATACATTTGTAAGGAGTATTTTTTACTTTTTAAATACCAGAGAGAATGAAAAAAGCTGGACAGCAGACACTTTTAAAAACACTGAGACAGAGTCAACCAACTTGATCAATAACTGCTATCATTACCACAAAGTGCGTTTTAAAACAATAATACAATAATTTCATAGCAATATAAGAAAGTATTGAGCTTACGCCGTGCTGACTCTCAGCACATACTACTGAGTCACAGATTGAGTGATCAGCCCACAGGCACCGGTTGGGTAAGGCAATGAGTTTCAGAGACGTCATTTTGTTTTAGAGCCTTTCATTACTGAGTTACATTACACAGACTGGGACATCTGTGGTATCTTCTGGGATGTTTCACTGTCCTTATAAGTTGATAGAGCTGCTTTCTAAAGAGATGTCCAAACAACGTGCCTGAGTTGCGGCTGGGAATAAACCAAGGATTCTTAGCCGTGTTCTTTGCTCTATCCACTGCTTTGCAGTTAATCTGGTTATTTAATGCATGAAAGCAATTTGAATAAACATTTTACTGACATACAAAACGCAGACACTCTTGAAAGCTCATGTGGTTAATGCAAAGACTACAAAACTTTATATGTATTAATTACACCTGTTAAATATTCATAACAAATCATGCCATGCACTGCCTGCCCAGGAAATAACCGTGCTTTGTGGTGGCATGGGACACTTGCCAAGCAACACTGCAGTAGGTAAAAATTCTCCATCTGCATGTTTGTTAGCAGAATCTGTCTTCAATGGATGTTTGTACTAAATGTACTAACTTTGCAAGGGAGACCAGTTTTCTTTGCTAAAAAAAGCTCCCTCACTAGCAGAGCAGAAGTGCTGTTTGTTTTTCTTTTTGTTGTTGCTGTTGTTTTGGTTTGTTTTTTACATGAAGGTGATGTTTTCTTTCTACTTGTGTCTCAGACTAAGAAAGAGCTGCTGATGGACAGAAGCTGGGGACATAACTGCTATCTCACTCTCCCACCTGACCAGAATCAGCTTGCAGCCCCAGGCACACACTAGGCAAATGAGGATTTGATCTTTGATCTTGCGTTCTGGGACTGCAAGAAAAGGCCAAAGACTTGTCAGAGTCTCAGAGAAAGGGCTGAGCAGGGGAACACAACTGCTGGCAAAAGGGAAGGAATGATTAAAGATGCCTTCAGAATTCCCAGAGGAACGACAGAATAAATGAAGGCTTGAAACCAATAACAGAAGGGGAAGAGGAAAGAAATATTTCAGTATGTTTACTGCAAAATTAAGATGTCCAAAATAAAACGTATCAATCTGGACACCAACAAATGTGAAGGGAATTAGTTCTTACTCTAATACTAGGAATGAACTAGAGGATCTGAAATGATCTATGCTTATAGGCATAAATGTTATTCAGTTGGTGATACTGAAATCTGGTTTAAAAAAAAAAAATCTCTCCTCATGACTGAGCAATTGCATTTACTATGTTTCAAATGTCATGACCTGTTTCTAAGTTTAGCAGCTACACAGCAAAAGATCTTAAATGTTTGCAGATTAATGAACCAGCAAGTAAAGTATAAAATAGGACAGTAGGTGATGTCTGCTACAACAGTCACTCCAGAGAATAAGATAACTAGCTCCTTAAAGAGCAATCAATAAACCACTGAAGAGAAAAAAAGCCACATTATCCATCTGGAAGACTAACTGAACTACAGGAGATTTCAGATTGCCAGCATTAAAACGACCTTGAAATTTCTTCCTCAAAGGATATTCACAGCACACAAGAGGAATTTATATTAAACCTCATCTTGACATGAAGGAATTGATTTCAGAACAAAATATAATTAACTATTTTAAGGGAAGGTGGGCCATAATCCAATAACAATGTTATCTGCCATGAGACTAAACCGGCTTTGAATGGATGCGGTCCAGAAAGATGAAATCAAATATGAATCATATCAGCCAGGACAGAAACACAGAACATCGCTAAGATGTAAGAATGATTTAAAAATACCATATCAGCTACATTACAGAAATATTACAAAACACTACCAAAAATCCCTAATACTATGCTGGGAGTCTAGATGTGGGCAAAAACATAAGGAACTATAGAAATCCCCAACATACAAAGCAGATAGAAAAGAAAGAAAACATACCTACAAGCAGATAATATATGCCAGGAAGTAGAAGAAAACTATGATGGAAGAAAAAGAATTTACAGAATGTCCCAGAGATTCAAAGAGAGGTTCAGAATAAACAGACCTAACAGAGGACTTCATATTTTACCAAATAGGCACATTGAAACTATTATTAAGAGGGCAAAAAATATGACACATCTAATCACTATTTCCATTCTTTTTTTTTTTTTTCACCCCTCATTAAATAAAAAAGCCTGACGTCCTACTGTCTGATGGAGAAATACTTTCCACTTCAACAGTAACAAAGGACCATGCTGAATGACAGAAACTGAAGTCAGAGACTTGATAATCACTGTGCTCATATGAAATGCACTGAAGAATTTTAGACCAGTTTTTTTGCTCTAAAGAAAGAAGTTTCAGGAAGAGCAGCTTGCTGGTCTGTTGACAGTCATCCTCAGTATGCCTTGCAATACAAAGGAAACGCTACAGGATAGGAAGAAAGATGCTGTGACAACATTTGAAAAGCATAAATGTGATGGCTGGAACATCTGCCCGTCAAGTTGACAGTAACCCCAGAAAAAATATTGTAATGACTGAGATTTTATTATAAAAAACAGTGCAGCAAGCAGCATCAGTTGGTACAGACTGATGATGATGATGTGTTCTCAAACTAGTTCAAATATGATCCTTACAAATTATAGGTTTGATTTCTAAGGACTGGAAAACATGTTTGAATGGGATATTGTACAGACTCAATTATGCTGCTTAACAAGTTGCAATCTATAACACAGTCAACAAAGATGTGATTATAAAGCTCTTCAATACATCAGCCTACAGTATTATGAGGCCTGATAGGCAGAGGCAAGAGATCTTCAAGACTGAACAAAATTGTTGTCTGCAAAGGTGATTAATCAAGTGAACAATCTGACATCCCTTGTCTGAAAGCCAGAGTGTGCGGACCATCGTATTATACAAATCTGTCATGCTCTTAAAATCTACATAGAGAAAATATCCTTGGGAGGTACACACTCTAAAATGCTCCAGATTTATAATAAGGCAACAAAAAGCTTTGAGATAAAAAGGTTGTCTCAGATAAAACATTTGGGAATCCAGACATCCTCATTCAGGAGGACAAAAAGTTTCTTCAGATGCTGGAAAAAAGGAAGAGATACAACCCGCTCACATGAGAGATATCATCAGCTGGGCTACAGCAGAGTAACTAACTCTGGAGCTACAGACAGTAGTCTGTTTAACAGAGGCACTGAAGAAAAGAATGTACATGTTGTCTGCAAAGGAACAGAACAACAAATGCTGGTAAGCAAGACTGATTTAAACGAGTACAAGTCTTGCTGCCATTTCCTGATTTTCTTTCTTCACAAAACACAGGTTTCAGCATTGCAGATGAAACTTCTCCTGCCTTGGAGTTTCCCAAGTTCACTAGAAACCAAAGCAAATTGGGACTGCATCTGTGTGAACCTTTACAAACTAGTCTTTGGTGACGTAAAACCAACTGTCAGGCTGAGGTAATGTCAATCATCACGAGAACTAAAAAGGAGAAGGAAAAGTTTTCCTCTAACACAGAGATAAAGAGATATTACTATCCATTCAGAAGAAGCTGTGGTGAGGTAGAGAAAGATTTGTATGAGCTGTCTTGCGTTTATTAAGTTGTTTCGTTCATACAAAACAACTTAATACCTAGGGTACCCATACCTAGGGTATACTGCAATGAGGGTCTGAGTTTAATAAGTTGTGGAGGGAGGAACAGACTGCCAAATTCAAACATACTGGCAATCGGTTGATTTACTACTGGGTAAATATGGCTGCTTCCACACTGTAGTAGCTGAGAAGTAGCTCATCCTTTTTCCAGTACAGGAGGACCTAGTTCAGTTTGTCTCGATTGTACTGACAGATAGACAACAGTACATAGCCTTTCCACCACGACAGATCACCTAATGAGGGATAAGCTGTTATCTGCAATAAGTTAATATGTCCCCTTAGAAACATCTTCCCCAACATCTAAGTAGCTACTGATCCACAGGTACTAATTAGAAAAAGTAGGCATTGTGCCACACTTCTAACCTGTAACCTGTCACCTGGAGTATGCTGCAGTCCCAACACTTCCTGGAAACATCTTTATTATCCCTTAGTAGTATGGACTTCATTGTCCATGGCACAGACATTTCTAATTTCCTTGCAATTTTAACAGGTTACTCAGTTTGAACCTAAATACCTATCTGGAAGTCTCCTTACCTCGATTGTGTTGCAAGAGGACAATAGTGGGATTGACGATTGTGGTAGAGGGATAGGCAGAAGATGACTTGTTGATTGATGTGAAGGAAGTTGGATAGTCAGTGCCACTGCTAGGCTGGGTCACGTCATTTAGTGCAGGACCTGGGTCCTGAAAAGGAGAGCAATACATTATCATCAGCATGCAGGAAAGCTACAGCACTGGGAAAATCTGGGAATAAAAAACACCATTTGAGACTGAATGAGAAGCATAATCATAGCAATTTTTAGTAAAAAGGCATAAGCATGAGCATGACCTTGCTCCATGTATGTACTCTGCTTCTTGTTAATGCAATTAGTTTGCTAAGGCAGTTGTATAATTCTTTGGTGCTGGGTTTCATGACTCCAACCCCAAAAGGAGGCACTAAATTAACCCGGCAGACTCTCTAGAGCAAACACAGGGTGCCAGAAACAAGCAGCTCTAGTTGTAAGAAAAGAGGCAGACATCCTTCCCTGATACATACACACACAATTTTTTTTTTTGGAGGGGGGGGGGTTGTTGTTTTAAAACAATTCCTTTCACAGCAAGAATCAGGCATGCAAAACTCATGCAGTTCTAGAATGAAACATTACTGTAGCTGGTTTGGTAAGGAAGGTCCAAGAAATAAGGTTAGCACCATCACTCAGGAGACCGTGTGACGTCTACATGGTAAAAAATCATGAAAAACAGAGAAATGACAAACAGTAGGACTCTACTAAGGAAGATACTCAACATAACTTTGTTGCTGAAACACAGATAGCAGGCTACTCTTGCCTTCCTAAAGTAGCAAGCTCCATTGTTTATGAATTTCAAACCCACCTTTTGTATCACCACAACTGTGCTTGTTCTGTAGAAAGACAGGCTGGGCCCACAGGGAAACTTAAAAATTAGTTCATCTTTGAAAATCCTCAGTCTAAGGATATCAGGCTCTCTCTTTATCTTACTGCCAACAAAAACAAAGGGGTGATGGCCTAAGAATGTGTGCAGCAGTTTAGGCTGAGATTTTTCAAAACTTCTCATGAAATTTAGATGCGCAATTAAAGTTAATGGGGAATAAGCATCTAAACAAAGTGAACGTGGAATTTCTGCATTCTTGCTGCTCCACTGTCATACTGGAATGCTGCAGGCCACTGATCTGTGAAACAGAGCTGAGCATTCAAACAAGAGAGTTTAAGTCAGCACTGAAAATAAATAAATACACAGACTATTACACCTCACACCCACCAGTGTCAATGGAAAGGCCTTACAGGATAAGGTAAGGGGCTGAGGAAGTGCCAGAGCTCAAAGAAGTTATGGTGAGAACTGGCCATCAACAGAAGCAGCATCTACAGTTAATCTAACCTGGAGGGGAGGTAGAGCAAAACAATCCAGTTCTGCTGGATGAAGGTGTTCTTCCTCCAAGAATCATTCTGATCAGGCCATGGACAACTCATAAGGACAGAACAGAAGGTTCTTCAGACCAAAGGTCTCTAAGACAGAGACCTAACCTCATTTTGCTGGCTTGGGATAGTATTCCAAGCAATGCAATTTGGGAGAAGGGCGGAAGGAGTTGGAGAGAAGTAGGAGAGATGCATTTGAGCTTAATTTTGATAACTAATGTATGAAGAACCCCCAAAAGAAGGAAGGTGTCAGGTCAAGTCAGGCTTAGGAGTCCCAGCTAAGTCATCAAACTGGGTGAGCAAAGAGCACTAAAATTACTGAAGAAAACTGCTCTGCAATCACATGAACAGAGTATGCACAAAAATAAAGTTTCAAAACTCTCATCTCATAAAAATCGTGTAGATCAAAATTTCTACTACTACCTCAGTATTTGGATGCCTGCTGAATTTTCCTAGTGCCTGTAGATAGGCTCCATAAAAATACTTTCACTTTTCACACACTGTTCTCAGCTGTAAAATCCCACTAATTCCAATAGAAACAGAAAGGCCAATGCCGAGAACTTTTTGAAGTATCATCCTCAGTTGTTTTTTTCCTTTCCCCCCAAGCCCCATATGCCTGTTTGGGGCACCTGTTTGACCTCTATAGAGTTGAAGGACAAAGGAAGTGCCATCATAAGAGATGGTTCTGCTGAGCTTCTTGCTTACCCCCATGAGCAAGCATATAAAAAAGCTGGTGGTTTCAAGACTTCCAGTATCTGACCCTCCTTGTACTTTTTGCTTTTTCTGAAACTTCAACTGAGATCTATTTCTCCTCCTTGTTTGGAAGGACTTTTTAATAGAAGGTCATGAGTTTAAAAAGAAAATATCTAAGCCAGGAAGAACACAGTAAAGTTCAAGTTACAATTATTGCAGTGCTTTTTTAAAAATTTGAAGAATTCAAAGACAGGCAACTTGGTACTGAAGAGACACTCTGATCCTAACCTATCCCATAGTGCCTACGAAGTTGGAAAAGTCTCAGCTCAGTAACTGATAGTAATGCTTGTAGGTCATTGGATATCAGCAGCAATCCTACATTGGCTTCAACAGGAATTTCTGTAGATATCATACAGTCTTACTCCAAGTGGAACAGAAAGCCAGCCCTAACCTTTAACTGGTCTGCTATTATACTTCCAGTGTTGTTCAAACACAATTAATGATGTTACTAAAAGAGCCTGAAGAGATCAGTTAGTTGCAGCTATTCTGTTTACACAGAATTAATTATTAGCAAAGCCTGGTGAAGGCTCCTAAAATGTGTAGCACCTAGCAGAATGGATACAGAAGTAGACAGTCAAATGTTGCACAAGAGAAGTCAATAAAAAGTCCAGAGCTGCACAGGGCAAGCAATATGCATGCACTAGCATAGGATGTAAACAAGGTTTCAGTTGTCATGCTGCTAGCAGGGAGTGAGTCATCACTCCTCTCAAGTTTAGTATGCCAAGAAGAAAGTAATTTTAATCTGGGAATACAAATTTAGGACAAGAGTGAGAAGGGTACTTGGCAAGCTTACTGTACGTGAGATGACTCCAGTGATTTCAGGCTTCAAGCCCCTGTGCAAAGCCCCCGTAACCGGAGGTACAAGTGAAGGTGGTGTTGAGAAGAATGGAAGTTTCGGGTAAACAGAGGGTGATGTGCCAGACGCAGAGGGTGCTTGGTTATGGTGGGAATCCCTCTGGAGATGTGGGGGAATGAAATCATCTAGAGTCGGAAAAGTCAAGGGTGTGCCAGGAGGAAGAGTCTCAGGGAATACGGAGCCTTGCCCAAAAGGAACCAGAGGCGGTGGAGGAGTGCTGGAGCTGCCTTCTTGTTGTCTGTCTGGATTAATCTGGACAAGGGGGACTACTATAACCCCAGGCTGAGTTGTGGTGGCAGTGACATCCTGTAGGAAACAAGGTGTTGTTATGCAAAGGGGAAGATTGGAACTTTAGTCTAACGCAGCCACATAGTGTCATGCAAGGATGCACCCCAAATAGTACAAAGCCCCAAAAGACTTTCCTTCGCTAGAGAAATATCTTTCTTCAGTCTTTCAGCAATGGCCTCTGTAAGCACACACAACTTTTTACCAAAAAAAAAAAAAAAAAGAATAAAATAGCATCTTCCATCCCCTTACCACCCCTCTCTCCTGTCATTTGCAGAGAGGCTAAATCAAACCACAAAACAGTGCTGCACTCACCCATTACTTGAGAAGCACTAACCAGCACGTAACAGAGTTTGCTTCTTTTATACCTCCCTAAAATAGCAAGATCTCAGCCGGTCCAACCCAGCCCCCTACAAACAACATGCACACACAAACACACAGATCAACGTTGGGGAGACATGAGGTGTTAAATATCATGGAGTAGAAGACCACAAAGGCTCAGGTGGTGTATCAGATGCTCAGAAATTAGGAAGGATGGAGACAAAGCATTAAGGAAATATTATAATGAATTAAAGAACCATTCAAATGGCTGAAAGAAAACAAGGTTATGTAGAAAACATGTACCATGCTGCGTCCCACTGCCTTGTACGGCGGCTGCCGCTGCTGGGTAAGATAAGGCTCTTTTCTCATTCTGTCCTCTGTGGCAGCTGTGCTCTGGGGCTCTAGCACTCTGTCCCTCAAAGCTTGCGGAGGTGATGACTGTGTCCAAGAGGGCTGGCCCGCATCAGAACTAACTGCGTCTTTATTGAGGACAATGTAAAAGTACGGCCTGGGAGGAATAGGAGGAGGAGGAGGAGCAGGAAGAGCTTTTCCCGTTGCAGAGAAAACAATATCGGTGGCTGGTGCCTGAGTGACCTCAGCTCCCAAACTGGTGCTGGCTGATGGGTCATGTGTGGTGCCAGTGGAATTTTCAGACGTGGCTGAGCAAGTGTTGTTAGATAAACAAGCTACATATAGTTTGCTGACCTTTTTATCCGCCTTCGTCTCATGACTGGAATTCATTCCAGCCTTACTACTGGGATCTGCCCTGTCAGGGTTGCGTTGTAAGGATGATGCATTTGATGAGGAGCTACTTTCCAAGAGTGGCTGCCCAACATGCACCATATCTCTGGGACCTGAAGAAGGAAAATGCCCTGCTGGCAAGCCTTGCTTCCCGCTGGGGACTGCCCCATAGGGGGTGGGTGATGAGAAGTAAGACCGTGAGCTGGCATTTAGTGATGCACGCTGAGCAGAAGGCTTGGGTGCATTCAGGTACACACAATCCATGATGGGCACTGGCAGCAGGTTGGTTGCTTTAGTGTCAGTGCGAGGACGCCATGCAAAGCTTTCCTCCTTGGGGAGAGGAGGACGGGGAGGAGGAAGGGCCTGCCCAGGCAGAGTCAAGAAGCAAGAGAGGGAGACAGGAAGCATTACAAAATGAAAGGAAAAAGGAGGGAAAAATAAAATGGAAGAATGAATTTGGTCATTAGATTTGGGTTAAGCAGGTTTTAATACAGCAAGAACAAAAAGTAAATACAGTATCTGGAAGGCCAGTATAGAACTCACTCACATCATCTCACAGAGTCTCTCCCAGCACTCCGCACTGCAGCACACAAACATTACCCAGCTCTAAGTCCCTGCCTACACATTTCCATATTAAGATTTAATATCCTGCCTAACTAAACCCAGGCATATGTCAGTGTAACCAAATACTTCCCAGCACAGGGTTCATCTGAATTGCAAAGCCAAATTCAGAGCTCTGGGCCACCTCCACTGCACATAAAGTGCACTGCCAAAAGATGAACATGAAGAAGTTTTGCCAGTGCTAATGAAAACAGATGTGAATACAATAGGTTGCAGTTGACCAAGTAAGAAGTCAGCATTTATTGCTACTGAAAAGCTGGTCCTTGAATTTTTTTCATGATTTTTTCAGTCCTAAAAATGCTTTTGACAAAATCAGAATAATTGAAGTTTCCTGAGGAATTGAGTTAATAAGATTTTGCCTTCAAAATTAAGATCGCTACAGAGAAGTTCTCTTTCCAGTGAATTTTAAAGGAGTGGGAGAGCTGGAAACAAAAATAAGCAGCAGACAGCATTACTGGTTTTGGTACTTTGCAACTAATTGCAGCTCCAATTCCAATCACAGTCAATTTCTGCTGAAAGTCAGATTGTTTTGAAGAAAAATAACTGCAGTGGAGAGATTTTGCTTTTTACTTGGTTGCCAGTTGCCAAAAATGATAAGCTGCTGAAAAGAATAAAACACCAGCCTACCGAACAGCAGCTCCCTGCATTCTTGCTAATTAACCCTCTGGAAACTATAGCAGTATGTTTCATACATATATACCACTGCTGTATCTTTATGGGCAAAGAGTGGCTAAATCACTTCTGAAATAGTCAAAATCAGAATATTCCCTAAAAGCTCACAACAATCAAACATGAAAAAGTACCACCTGTAAAATACATCCACACATGACAGGTTGGGGTCAGCACCTATTCTTGTCAGATGGATACATAGTAAACTATTTTCATAAAATTACAGCTACTCCTGTCCTTGTGCTGCTCCTCTTTCACCTTCATCCCCAATGAGGGAAGATTGCAGAAGTGCATTGGAAAGTGCTTCTTCTGAAGGGCTTCTGGTTTTGGAACAGGATCATCCTCTTTTGGTTCCTTATAGAAAGTAGTTTTAATGCAAAGAAGTCAGCTCCACAGAACTTTCCTGTATTAGGCTCACTTTATCACTGTACTGCTATACGGTGAAAAATGAGAAAATTATGAGAAAATACAAATTATCTACTCACAATTGCCTTTTCTCATTTTGTTCATTTCACCTTAGTTTGGACAGTAGCCCTGGCTACTTCTGTAAGGAGTACTACATGCCTAAGTCTTCTCTTTGTTCATCAATAAGATCAGCAAGTGACTACAGGACCAACTGGAAATGTCAGGCAGAAAATAGGTCTCTCCTTTAGGATGCTGCTCCTTCCCAAGTCTTCATCTGAGCTGTGCCATCTTCCACTTAAAAATTTTAGGAACAGTGTCTGCTCTGTGGCATTACTACAGGTTGCTGATGATAGGAGCAGTCACCCCGACAGGGGACAGGGTTTTCAGGGGCTCTCCATTTCACATAAGAACACATTATCTAACAAAGGGCTTACTTATGAGCATTCAGACCACCTCTGTGCAGACCAGTCACTCAAAAGGATGAAGTTACACCTTCTTTTAATTGATTCATTTCACAATTTATCCCAATGTACAAATACAATCTTTCCCTTGACAGCCTTAAAAGGCTTGTATCAGTTACAGTATTAAAACTAAAAGGCATTTCCCCAGTAAAGTCAGGCCCATCCTAAACAACTTATTTCAGCCTGCTCAACCTCTAGAAAATACACCAACACAGAAGACAAACTAACAGATGGCTACTTCACCTTTTTGTTGCAAGCAAATAGCATTGTTGTCCTTCTTCGTCCACCAAGGAAACACTGTGGTCCCTCTGAACACAAAAGCTCCACAGCATTCTGCTGACATCAGTGTTGTTCCCATTTCACAGGAAGGAAAAGCTGATGCACAGTAACTTACCCAAGTCTGCAGCAAAATCTGGAGTTCAACCCGGGACTTCTGCCCATGAATCCAGTGCTTGAACCCAGAAGATCACCCTGAGAGTGGCAGAAGAAAGGCTTACCTGTGGCTTGCTGTCCGAGGAAAGGTTCGGACGCACACTCCTATAACCCTTGGCAGCCAGAGAAGATGGTTGGGCATCCCCGTTGGCATCAGTGTTGGGTGATGATCTCCAATCATCTAGAAGGGAAAGAAGAAAAGCAATTCAGATGACAGAGGATTCCCTCCAGCTACAGAATTAGTGAAGGGAAGGGATTTTTCTTCCTCCAGACAAAAAGAAATACTTCCAAGAAAGCAGCAGAAGTAACAACGTAAGTAGTCAATGTTTGTACCTGTTTCTGTGTTTTCTGGCTCCAGACCTAAGCATTTCACAGAAAAGAGGGACAGAAGGGATGGGAGTAGAGGGCAAGCATAAAGGAAAAGGAAGAGAAAAAATAAAAATAAACTGTTACATTTACAGACAACATGTACCTATTGGAGTAAAGAGTTGAGTTACTTCACTTCAAACATAAAATGCTCTCTGACTGGGCTGCCTAATTACCATAGAGACCAGCCCCAAACACGATGCCCTCCTCCTTTCTGACCTTTGTAAACACAAGGCAATTCATTCAGAGCAATGAAGAAACAATTGTTCATTGACATTCTTATTTCAGAGGCAAAAAGGCAGCCCAGCTAGCTACTTTCTAAAGCTGCAGCTTCATGTCCGAACACCATACACTACTGGGAACACAGGGACTCCATATTCAGCTCTGATAAAACTGATGAAGACATTTCTACCCTTGTCACTGCTACTACATATGATTAACTGGGACAGAGGACTGTCAACAAACAGATCAGGTTTGGCACACTAAGTTCATGCACGTGAAAGGAATTTAAAAACAAAACAATGTCACTTTACAATCAAGTCTCTGCATATAGATACATTGGTTTCATCATCTCTTTACCCACCTTCCACTGGGCTCCTCCCCACTACCTCTCCCCTGTTAGTCATTTTGCTTTTAGATGCAAAAAGCTCTTCCAGCTCCAAAGTACATTTCATAAAGTGATTGAGAGAATAAGCAAAGGAAGTATTAACAACCTCATTTCCATAGTAATGGGCTCACTGCCATTCAGGCTGCTGGAAATTTATGAAGCCATCAGCAGTGAGAGGCAATGATGGGGGGCAGGAACATGAAAAGAGGGAAGGTCAAGGGTAAAGCAGAAAGGGAGGAGAAGATGGAGCAGAAAGTGGCACATTGGGGCTGGAATTAATGGAATCATCCTTCTTATAACAATACATCCAGAAATGATGTGTACTTTGCTTTCAGGAGCAAGTTTGACCCCCCATTCCCCTTAACAGCATCTTGCCTGTGGGAGTTCATCCTCTCTGCCAGACCCATTACACTGGCCAGGTTTATTATGCTTTGCCTGTCTCCTACAATTAAGTAATTACACTTCTGCTATTGAATGATGGCAAAGCTCTGTGGCGACAGTGTATGTCTGGGATGCCACTCCTGCTCCCTTGACAACCCAAGTGAACGCTGTGGTAGCGAGCAGCACTGTCGAGCCTTTTTCTGGTTCATCTTGGCTGGGATAAAAGTCTGCCAGAACAGACAAAACAAAACAACCAACCAATCACCACAATAACAACTAGATGAGAATTCTTGGTGCTGCTGGTAGCAAAAGGGAGCTGTAAACAAATTTAAGTCGATGAGAGAGCTGTCATGCACTGGAAGAGAATAGGAGTCCATTTCTCCCCTTGGAGATGTAATACTGGTCTGGCTTTTAAAAAGAGATTTCCAGCAGCTATAGGACCTCAGGCTTTAAATTTTAGTTTAAAAATCAAATAACAACAAAAAACACAGCCCAAGACCCTGAACTGACCTCACACAATGTTACTACAAGGCAACATTTTCCAGATAACTTTGCAGCCACTTCACTTACTTTCAGGTTTCTCAGCATCCTGAGGACATGGCGAAGAGATTTTCTGATTCTCTTCAGAGGTTGAAGATACCCAGAGGGTCACAGCTCCTTTTCCACTGCAGACTTTAGTGGGATCTGTTTCTACAGGAAATGTACATGCACAGAAAAGACACATTGAACGAGATGATACAAAGCTCTTAGGAACCATCAGAGCTCTGTGGAGTAACTTCAGCATGGCTGTCTCTGAGTGAATCGATCTAGTAATGTTTATGTTGATGAAGATTAGCTCTGGATTTAAAGCATTGAGAATTCAAAGCAGTTTTGTATTCAAGTAACTGATGAATGTAGAAACAAGTTCCGTGCCAATGTAATACAGCTAAGAAAGCAGGAAAAAAGGATGATTGGTTGAACCAAATTTCATGGGTCCATTTGCTTCATTTGGCCTGCTCTGCATGTAAATATTGTATCAGCAGGACAGCATTACACCTGTGTCTCTTCTGCTGGATATCCCAGTGGTACACAGCAGCATGATTTGTGTGCTTAAAAATGCCTTTTGTGCAGGCAAAAAAAAGGTCTTATGTTTACTGGAGCACAAAACCTTGTAACTGTGAATATGATCTGCCTCCTTGCCAGGTTCCCCCATTCCATGATGGTGTTGTATCTTTTCAATGTAGGAACCCAAATGCCATAAAGTATAAAGAAATTTAACAGATGACTCTGCGAGCCAAACACCAGGTCACGTCAGCTTCCTTGCTAAGGCTCATTCAGGACAACTTCTGTCCAGGTTTACCCTTGTGCACTTCAGTCTGTGGATTTGGGTTCTTTCCTCCTGTCCCCTTATTCAGCAATTACAAAACAGAACTTCAAGGCCATCTTCCTGCCCTTATTTAAAATCTTTCCGGAGAGTTGTTTCCTCTAAGATATACGTAGAAACAATATGCCTAAAGAGACTCTTACTTATCCAACCTACTTCCACAGGAAAACATATCACCTCCCTTTCTTACGCACTACCTATTACTGCCCTGCAGCTGCCATCACCCTTTTCACTTTGACCTACCTCAGGAGAAGTGCTAGTCCTTCCACGACAATGCACAGGGAGCCTGAAGGGGATCTGAGGATGTGCCATGTTGCACAGGTGACAACATGATTATTTTTTATATTTACAGGTAAGGATCAAGTTCCCTCTGTAGCAGAGGGATGGAGCTCCTCTTTGAGACCCGTTATCAATAATGACAGTTATACCTCCAGACTGAAAGGAAGGGGTAGAAGCTGCTGCTCACTGCCCATATAACAGCTTGTGTTTGTGCAGATTAGCATCCACTGCCTAATTGTAGTAAGACACCATTCATTACATCCACACCCAGACAGTGCCTACAGACCATGACAATGCCTCAGCCAAGGTTGCAAAACACTGCCACAACATAACAAAGCATCAAGAGTGGCAGATGGATAAAAGCAGTAAGCAGGAAGACTCACTGCATGTCAAGCATTTGGTTCATACTGGAAACCCTCAATGCTGAATCTCCATGGTTCACACTTTTACTTGGGCTTACAAAACTTTAAGACATCCCTAAAAAAGATTGTTTCAGGTAGCACATCCACACGTATCAAATGCTGCTTAAACTTAAACGTACTAACTTCACAATCGCATCACACAACAGATCATGCCTTAGAGTTACCCATGCGGCTGCTGAAATAGAAGCTGATTTCTCTGACTGAGAAGCATTTGTTATGTCTGTGTGATAGTGCTTCCCCTCCTAGAGGTTGCTTCAATGCCGCAAATTAAGTAAAGACAGAATTGATGGAAAAAAACATCCGACTCCCTATGTATTCCACCTCTTCTCCAATACTAAGGGTGGATCTGCTACCTGAAGCTACTCTTTGTGAGAAAGCCCTAAAGCACTTGATGCAGAGTAGGGTTAGATTATCTTGTCCAGGGCTATTACTGGCTGCCACTTACATCCACACAACACAACACGCAGCCTCAGGACTCTACAGATTCATGTGCAAACCAACAAAGTTTACATTTTGAGACTCCAGTTTCAAGAGTACTGTAACTACGAAGCATAGACATCTTGTTGGGAGTTATCAGGACCGAGTGAAGGGTTGCCATTCTTCTACACTCACAAAAACATCTAGAGCTCACAGCAGAAATGCTTCTATTATACAAGAGGACGAAGGTCCTGGAACTGTTCATCGCTCTCCGTGGACTGTTGGAGTCCAATATCCAGATTAAAAGTAGTTTTTTGAGACAAATCTTATGCTAAGTCTTAGGCTAAGGTTCAAGAGACATTAAAGTCCTTCACAGAGGCCAGATCTTAGTAACATTTTTGAAGCTTAGGAAAAGCATATCAGCATCTTCATGAATGAAGGCTCTAGAGATTGCAATACGGCTGGTTCCTTTTTACTCCACAACCTCTTCTTGCTCCCAGGCTATCGCAAAGTGGGCAAGTGGAGAATACTTCAGCACTTTCTGCTAACGTTCTCCTTACTGAACACTTCTGTTCATTCTTTTCCCTCCTCTCCCTTCCAGTTAACATTTCGATTCTTGGTCATTAAGCAGATGAGCAAGAGAAAAAGTCTTTCCTAATCATTTTGGCAAAAATAAACAGTGCACCTGGAATAGAGTGAGAGCATGCAGCCTGGAAGTATAAGGCCCAGAATTAACAGAGATGGCTCTAAATGCTGCAATACAGCAAAGCAGACACCTTGCATTGCACACTGACATAACTCACTTCTGAATTAGGGATACATGAAATAATAAGAGGAAAAAAACTGTAAGTGCTCTGTGCCTGACTGCTCGTGTGCTCCATTTTAGACGCACAGGTTTGGGTGGCAGAACCCTTAATGATACAGGAAAGTCTTGGGACTGACACCTCTGCAGAGATGTACGCCAAGAAACAGAGAACTTTCCTTACCAAAGCAGTTTATTTTCATACAACTTATTCCAAACATAAGCCAAATCAAAACAGTAGCACTCACTGAAAAAATGTTTTGAACTCAATAAAATCAGAACACTTAGAAAAGGGTTGAAAATAAAACTGACAATGACAAATGCCCTCACAAATTTAGTCAAAAGAGAGAAAACAAAGATCCAAATTTCTCGTTAGAGGGATCCAGCAGATTGGTACCAAACGCAATGTCATAAGTTCCTTACTTAGTGCCTGTGGGAGACAGATTAGAAGAGACGAGCAGTATCAGCTAGCCTGGTACGACTGCCCAAATCCAGCAAAGAACAAAAATAATCTTGTAATTCTAGCAGGAAAACACGTTAGTGGGAGAGGGTAACAGAGAGCCTGACATCCTTATTTATCTACATAAAGTTTCTCTAGTGTCAGCATATGCACTGAATAACAAAACCATCCCATGGATGCTGAACTATGCTTGAACCTGTAAAATAGCACCTCTGATGTCTATTTACTTTCATAAAGACTAAAGATACGCAGGAAGCATTCTCTGGTTCATCAGGAGTTTGGTTCAAAATGAGGCTGTAATAACAGCAACATTCATAACCAAGCACTAGAAGAGCTTGCAATGATTCCAGATTCAAGCAGACACAATTATGTCTGCAGAGAAACAGCATAATTGAGAACAGTGCACTGTGCCATCAGGACCTAACTTTATTACCTACTGATGAAATCTACGGCTCTGGAAACAGTGAGAAATGATGAAGCTGAAAGCCAGCCAAAGCACGTGGGTGAAGCAGAGAGAAAAAAAGAGAGAAAAAGGGAGAATGATGGCAACTAATGCATAGCAGGGGGAGTAAGAAAAAGATACCTGTAGGCAGCACTAGGTGAGGAGAACTTTTCACTTTCTTCACAGGGATTATTGTAACGGCAGAAATAGAGCGTGTGTATAAAGGGACGTCAACAGCTGCAAACACAAAAGTGTAAATGGCACATCCAAAAGGGAAGAACAGAGTTTGGAATCATGCCACTAAATTTTCTAATGTACTCAGAGACACAATAGCAGGAAATTTCAAACACAAAAGCAGTCCAGAGAGCAGTGATGCAACCACTAAAAATATCCCTGCGCTTGTCCTAATCCAGGATACGTCTGCTTTAGAGCACGCACAGAACTGCTTACTGAGTCAACTAACTGCTGACCACCACTATGCTGCAGGGGTAACAAACCTGGAAGCATTAGTTTTTACAAGCCATAATTTTTTTTTTAGTGTGACCATTCAGATGCGATACACTACATGCAAAAATAAAAATGTTAAGTCAATTTTACAGTGGCTCAGTTAAAGTGAAAAAACAGGCAGAGGTTCAGAGAGAGACACCAAAAACTACCCATACTACAGGAATTCTGGATTTTAGGGCACATTTTATAAGTTCAGCAACAAGACAGTACAGAAATATTAAACAATCCTGAAAAGCAGTTCCACACTGAAGTGTAGCATCAAATACCTGGTCCAGAAAAATAAGACACCTATCAAAGCAGTAAATTAAAGATTTCTCCTGCACACCATTACTTAGCATAGTACTTACAGTATACATATAAAATGTAATGTTACATATAATTACATATATATACATATATATACATATACACATATATACATATAAATGTAATAAAATTACATATTAAAATAATGTAGGGGAAAATCATAGGTAGCACAGTGCAAAATTCTAGCAGTGGTTACAAAACTCTCCAAAACTGTTGCTACTTCCTTTCCATTTCTTTATTGCTGCTAATGGGGAACTCTATTACAGATGAAAATAAAAAAGGTGAAACTACATATAGGTGATACTCAATAGGATCTGCCAAGATTAACACCACGCAGTCAAAGCTCCACTAGAGTAATGATACAGTAATAACACAACATAGTGAGTTGTGCTGTTGATTTCTGCAGAGCCAAGATTTTCTCCTTTAGAATCTATCAGATTTCTGCATGGAAATATTAGCCAGAAAGTGGCAGGTGTCCTCTACACTCCACCTCCTTCAGGCCTGAAAAATCAGGAGTAAGAGGAACCACATCCCTAACACTTTTCACACCACCTCTGAGCACTGGGTGAGAGTGAGAGAGGTACTGACCTCAGAGCACCGTGCACATCACCTGGTGGCAGCTCCTTCTGGCCCCTGGCAGAACTGGGAAGCAAAGACTTCCATCTGGCAAAGGGCTCTCAAGCAAGAGGCTAGAGGAAGAGCTCAACAAATTTTTTCAAACCACAGATAGCTGTTGATTTTTTGGATTTGATTGAATGGATTGAAAGCCATTTGCCTTAGAGCAAACCAAATCAAACTCTGTTCTCCACGCATCTCCCTGAGCATCCTGAATTCAACAGATCTCTCCACTCCAAAGAGTCTGCGGTTTAGGAAACAACTCTAAGGCTGTTCTGCTTTGCAACCGACTGAATTCAGCCACCCACAATGCAGCCAAAATACTAACCACTATAAAAAGGCATCGAAAGAAAAGAAAGGAAATGAACCCTGCAGACAACCAACCCATACAAGCACATACTTTCACCCTGCCAAAATACACACCATCACTATATAATACTGAATGCTATTTAATGCTTCAAATCTGTTGATGTTAACACGAAGGCTGGTTTGTTCAGATAAATTGGGGCTTAAAACCCTGGTTGCTAATGGCACATTTCTTTATTACATAATCAGTTCCAGCTCTTTACTTCTGGCTCAGAACTTCACCTCTCACTGAAGTTAACAGGGTTCACACACAGGCATCCAAAAGTCCATGCTGCTTAAACACATCAAGATACTGATACACAGGTGCTCGCAAGTACTAGAAGTAATGTACTGCTTTCTTCAAAACAGCACAAAAAATATGCAAAAATGCAAATCCAGCCTGCCACCTTTTGTTGCTTAAAAGACAAAGAGAGCTTGTTCAGCTAAAAAATGCTGCTGCTGGCATGCCGCAGCACAAGGCCTTTCTTGTAACAGTCGCCAGGCAAACTAAATTTGGAAACACTGCTGTGGTGCCCAGGGAAACCAACCACATTACTCAGCTGACACACAGGGGGAGCTGCAGAGGCGGCTCTGAAGCTCTCAACCCACCTTTTTCTTGTCCATTGCTGCTCAGCCCATTGACAACAGTTTTTGCAACATCAACTTCTTCACGTTCTGCAAGAAAACCAAGAAGCAGATTACTTTACAAGTATTTGCAACTGAATTTCACATCTGAATATGAGGGCGTGCTGTGGGTCTGAGCTACCTGATTCTGGAGATCGGAAGTATTCCTACCACCTCTAGAAATGTTGCTTGGAGAACACAAATCTCCCTTGGATGACACCTAGGTCTCTCTTTGTCCTTTGTGGATTGCAGCCACTTTAAAAGCAGGGACTGTCTCTATACGTATAGATAGCACTCGGCTCAATGCTGTTTTCATTTTTGGAGGGACATGAATACCCTAGTTTGGGAAAAATAAATGCTCTTTGCTACCATGTTAGCCAGATGTGAGTACAAACTCAAAGATAAGAGAGCTGGCCCACACTCCCTAATTTTTCAGCTATGTGCTGTGTTGGCATGAATCAAATTGAGTTTTGTGAGTTTGAAGAAACAAGACAGCACTGGAAAGGATCTCCAATGGTCATCTGAAGCCATGTTCCTGACCCACAACAGGGACATACGTATCTATCTTTGTAATTACTGACATATGTTTGCCTAACTGGTTTTTACATATCACCCTAGAGCAGTTTATTCCAGTGCTTTAAAACATCAAAGTTTTTGCAACTTTTAAGTCAAATTCCCAGCTCATGCTTCTGGTTATTCTTCTGGTATTTCTCTCTACGATCTCCAAATGGTTCTGTTTTTTCTCAAAATGTGGTGCTAAAAACTGGACACAATACTCCAGCTGAGACATGATAAGTGCTAAAATCAAGTGGAGATGTTATTCCATGGGTCCTACATATGGTACTTTAGCATGGTATCTACTTTAACTTTTTCAGTCTTGCCTTATTACCCAGACAAACCCAACACTTGTCCTTTCCCCAACTGTCTCCATTTCCTTTACCCTCACTTTTCTTTGAAGAGCTAATTTTTCCTATCCAGATGTCAAACTTTGCACTCACCTCCGTTAAAACAGATCTAAGTCTTTCAGAACTCATTCCAGACTACAACAAGCTAAAGTGACCAACTTTGGTTCAAGATGTCAGAGCTTTATAGACCAATTTGAAAGAACAGAACTCTAGCCAGGACACTACTACAAAGTCATTCCACTCTTTCTCCAAAAGTTAGCATCCCTGAGCCTTTCCACAGAGGGCTGGAGCAACTGTGAAGAGGAGATAAGGCAGTTGGGGTCATTCAGTCTGGAGAAGAGATGGCTCCAGGGAGATCTTATAACACTTAAGGGGAGCCAAGAGGAAATCTATGGAAGGACACCTTATCAGGAAGTATAGCGATAGGACAAGGAATAATGATTTTAAACTGGAAGGGGGTAGGTTTAGACTAGGTATTATAAAGAAATTCTTCCCTATGAGGGTGATGAGGCGCTGGACCAGGCTGCCCAGAGAAACTGTGATATTCAGTCTCTGGAGGTGTTCAAGGCCAGGTTGGATAGGGCTTTGATCAACCTAGTGTAGTGGGAGGTATCCCTGCCAATGGCAGGGGTATTCGAGGGATTTTTAGGTCCCTTCCAACCCAAACCATTCTGCAATGCCAGGGCTTTGCCTGAGAACCAGGATGTAAAAGAGTCAGAAAAAGAAAAAAAAGTAATTGGATCAAAAACTATTAGGAATAAGTCCAGCAATAGAAAGGTAGGTTAATGAGAACAAGCAGAAAATAACACAGACTTACCAGAGCTCATTGTGGCAGAAGGAATTGCCTTTTTCACTTCTGGATTTTGTTTATCTCTGTTTAAAGTGAAAGGTAGAATGGTTATTTTGTTCAAAATCTGCTTAGACAGTAGTGTATCTAATGCTGAACAATCATCACAAAAATCAAGGTAAGAACTGCAAGAATTTTCTCAAGAAACTGAGTTTCAAAATCAAGATGTATTTATGTCAGCAGTTACCATTTTTGTTGGTAATTATCAGAAATTAAATTTTCACATAATATACATACAACTTTCCAACCTAAGGATCATACCAAATAAACCATGAGAGTTTCTATACAGCACACTACAAATCTGGATAAGCTTCTAATATATGAAAAGCCCATCATCTTTGATTAAAAAAAAGAAAAAATCTTAGTGAGACCATCCATTTTTAAGCTAAAACTCTCAAGCTTAGATCACTGCCATATTTCAAGGTTATCTGCTACTCCTACCAACACCAGCCTCCCTGGTGGAAGATGTTAGAATGAAGAATAAGTATTTGTAGAAATGTTTATTAACTTCTGCACCAATCATTTCCAGTCCTGTTCCTGGTATCATCAGGAACATGCTGCAACAGGTGAAACTTCAAATTAGAAGCTTTAATGCTCCTGGGATCAAAGGCAATGAAGTTACCAATCTGCGATAAAAAATCTCCGACTGTGAACAGAGATGAAGAAAATAAATTTTCACAGTCATTAGAAACTATGTAGGACAACTGCAGTGCCTATTCCTGGTCAAGACTTGGTACTACAAAGTTTTCAATGTCACTGCAGATGTTGGTCTGAAAAGAAAAAGAGCAGCATTTCTACAAAACAGTCTATGTTTGCCAGGACTTCTTAACTCTCCCGAGGTCTAGGTTGATAAAAACTCTTTAATTTCACGTCTCATTCTCCCTCCCACTTCCCCCCAAAAATTAGCACTAAATAGAGCATGAGTGATTCCAGCTAATTAAATGCTTTTCAGGGCACAAATAGGAGTAAGTATCACAAATTGTGCAATTGTGCATAAACAAACACCCTAATCTGAAGGAATACAACCCCTTCCCTTACTTCCAGGCTGCTTGGAGAAACAAGGTGGCAGAGGAGACATTTTTTGTTTTCTTGTTTTCCTGTTAGAAGAAGCATAGGCAGTAGTGGGACCATCTAAGAGGTGGAAATTGTCTTCAGGGAGTTCAGTTTGCCTCCTTGCCTGAAGCACCCCCATTCTCAAGCAGCGTTCATTCCATACCAATCAGAGTATAATTAGCACATTTGACAGACAGTCAAAAGGAAAGTAAAGAAAATTAAGCTGGCAAATAAAATAATGGATTCACCTGTAAAACTAGCTGATATCTGGGCTTTCAGGCATGTCACACCAGCAACAGCTGCCAACACTTAGTTATTTTATTCATTAAAATGCCCACAGAAGGTACTTCATTATGGGCCGGAGAAGGCTCGGCAGGGCACAGCCTAACTCCAAACTGACCCCAGAAAAGGAGCAGCAGGCACAAAATAAAGCAACTCAACAAAAGCCGAACACAACCAAAAGGCCTGCCAACACAGCACCCGCTTTGTGTTCCTACCATTTCATATTAGAAGCAAGAGCCCTGAAATAGTAATGGTTGACAGGCTCAGAATTTGGCCAAATGTATTTATTAATAATGATCTTTCTGATCTCTGTAAGCTTCAATTACAGAAAGTAATTACCTTAGTTGAGGTAAAGGATAAATAAATGAGCTAAAATTACAGATTATCAAGGCAAAGGAAGAAACAATATCACATTCGTCTAGCTATGGAAAACTATTATCAGTTAAACTTACTGGAAAAATACAAGTTCCTTCATAGAGCAGGGAGAAAACCACTGCAGTTAAGTCTCAATTCAGCTTTAGAAATAAAAACATTGTGAAACTGAGGGAGGCTGCTAGTACCCAGAAGTACTAGCACAACACTGGCCCTCTCCTTGGGATATGTACAGGTCAATGGGACCTTTCCTCTACACTGAGTATCCCCAAAAGGTTGCATGTCTTCCTCTGCTATTTAAGATTTTTAAAAGGCCCAACAAACTCCAGCATGCTACCCTTCTGGCAGGATACACTAAGCTCACACACCTGGCAAAGGCCAGGTTCTCAGCAATATGGTGGTAGAGCACATTTCTCAGTAGCAGTATCTGAGCAAGTACTTCTCTGACCCCGTGCCTTACTCATTTTGAAGCGTCTCTTCTCCACTTAGAATGTGACATCACAACTGCCAGGAAACTGATTTCAATGGTTTCTTTTGTATTTGAGAGTCATGACACTGCTTACAGAATAAAGCACTTGCTTCACCGTGCTAAGAAAGGCATTCAGCAAAGAGCTCACACACAAAAAAAGCTCAATTATTTGGCCTTAAAAGAACAAATTACTTTTCCACAAGAAGCGATTTGAGATCAGAAACTCAGTTGTAATTAAAGGAATAAGTTTCCTAAATTAAATGAAGGTGGTGTACAAACTCATTAGAACTAGATCTAGAAAAACGACTACACCCATATACTCACACTTAGTTGCAATTACAGAATCCAATTAAAACAACAACCATTCAGCATTCATTAACCGTGAAACTAATCAGTATTATTCAAGCACTCATGAACATACACTTAATATAGGTTCCCATAAAAAGAATAGGTTTGGAGTGCTGAGGGTTAATGTATGCAATCTAGAGCACTTCAACTACTGTAACTCTGGAGGTTCCATTTTAAAGTTGATTTAGGTCATTTGAGGGTCTGTGTGCAGACTCACTGCAGCCTGGTACAAAAACAATCTGCTGCTTAGATTGAGAAAATTACAGAGTATGTTTGAAGTTGAGAATGTGCCTCGGTGCCTTTTGCACCCTGTTTCCCATAGGCTTCACCTAAACCATTCACTGAAGTCCTGTTACACTTGTATTTTGTGTAGTCTAAGGCTGTTCTCAGGGCCAGATTCTGTTTAGTCCAACAGCACACCTGGCCTGGTGCCCCCTGCATTGCCCTCTGTAACATTTGGGAAGATATGTGCTATAAGTCAGCACACTGTCTGTGCTTGCGAGAGCATCCTTAGGCAGAGCAGCCCTGCCAGATTGGTTGGACAGGCTGCACATGGGCTGCAGAGGCAGGTGGATCTGGGAACATCTGCTGCTCTCCGTTCCTCCTTCCTGTAGAAATGATCACACAGACCCCACAGACATGTGCAGAACGCACAGTCATACTTCAGGACTGAATCTTTTGAAGGAAATCAAAGGTTGGATCCCTTGTGCCAGTCTTAGAAACTGAAAAACAGTACCACCAAATCAGGCAAAACAAAAACCGATCTCCCACACACAACCACCACAGTGTCTCCTAGGTCCATGCTGTAAGGAGCAGACCACTGCCTCCTTGCCAGCTCTGAATTTATGCCTTTCCTGAAATATGACAGACATAGCAACAAAGCTGCAGACATTCAAAACACAATGAAAGGTGATGAATTCCTAAGGGCATAAGCCAGCAGTTGTAATGCTGAAGATGCCAACGCCTGTATGTAACGTCCAGCAGCTCCTTGCCAGCTCTGTACCTCTAGACGGGTGTTCAGCACTCCTTCCTCCCTCTCACCCCCAGCACATCTCTCCCAGGGCCGCAGCTCCTTCCCTACTTGGTGTGGAAACGGAGCACAGTGGATTTAGAGCCCTATTTAGGAGGAATGCAGATAAGTAGTGACTACTGCTGCGCAGCATGTCTCTGGATTATCTCACATGCTCTAAACATTCAAGTGCTCCCCCTGCAACGGTCAGGGTAACAAACAGCTCATTAATTGTCCCGAGTAAGGACGCACGCTCTGCAGTCACCGGTATCTCTGCCGGGAGTCGTGGGTGGTGGTTATTTTTGGTGGTCTAATGTACGTGTGGGGAAAAGTCATTTCCTCTGGTTTCTTCTCTTGCTGTTACTGATAGCCCCGATGACTTACTTAGAATTTAAGAGCTGTTGCTAATCATAAGCATTCAAAACTCATCAGGCAGGCCTTAAATTCATTACTCAGATTCCCCGCTTTAGCTCCTCAGTTCTGAGCTTTCACATTTGCAAAAGTGTTTCTTCACACACAAGAGCGTTGAGTGTTTTGTAGTATGCAAATGAAAAATCAAAGTCTTGTTTATATAATAGTCTAGCTATTAAGGCTTTTAGAAGAAAATTGGAGATTTTTAGATTTAAGAGATGATGAGCATTCACAAATGCTGTTTTTCACTTGATCAGCCCTTGAACATTACTCTGGCACCCACTTGTTTAGCCCTTGGCTCAGCCCCTCTCTCAATGCCACCAGTGTTCCTGCCCCAGATGCTCCACTCAGCCAGCAGGGCCACCACCATGTGATCCCAGTGATCCCAGAGCTGGACAGGGGGCAAAGGGCTGCACTGCTGCCAGCGTCTGCTACTAAGAGGTTCCTCTGCTTAAAGCAAGCCACTGGAGAACACAGCTGTACTTCTCATGCTGTACCACATAAAAGGGAGCAAGAGAAAGTAGCTTGGGAATATAAGAGGCACAGCTCTGGGTTAATCCAGTCAATCAGCTCTCTTCTCCAAGTATCATTACTCTCTTATCCTGAAATACTGACGGAAATATGTTGCCTGTCAGTTTTATTTTAAGGGTTAAAGAATGTCCTGTTATTCCATCAGAAGACATGATGCTCCTAAGAATAAATGTCAGGAAAGGACTGTGAAGAATCATAGAATGGCCTGGATTGAAAAGGACCATAATGATCATCTAGTTTCAGACCTCCTGCCATGGGCAGGGTTGCCAATCACCAGACCAGGCTGCCCAGAGCCACATCCAGCCTGGAGTCCTACCAGCTCCAAGCAGCCTCCTCCCCGCACACACTTCAGCAAAGGTTCAGACAACACTGAGCAATGAGGGCTCAGCTAAATTCAACAAATGACAGCGCTGCACACAAGCTGGAATAGCATGTCCTTTTAAATAATTGAGCTTACAGCTGTTGGAACAAACAAACATAGCACACTGCATATACAGTACTGTTGTCTTTTTTATTTTTTAAATATGGTGCATGTTTGCTTCCTTTCTAAT